TGTCTGAGTGGGACTTCCTTCTTACATTTCGAATACGAAAGAAATTAGAGCGATTTGACTCCATGAAAGTAACATTATGTTTCCTAGCTGTAAATGCCTGAACTGGTAGAACTATAGAATGGATCTCATCTTAACTCGATAGGCTTGAAACATTACGTCAGCAGGAAAGAGCATGCTGAGTGGAGAATAAACCTTCCTTCACAAGATCAGACAAAGCTTGACTGTTGAATGAAGGATCGTCTGAAATTTAAAAAAAAAACTATTAAAAATAATAATAATTAAAAACAATAATGGCTGTAGATTATAAATCTAATAACCTTATTCTGTCGGAAATATTTGAATTAATATCTGTCCTCTGACACTTTTATCCTTCATTACAAATGCATTTCAAGTGTAAGATAATTAACAACGCATTTACATTATGCATGCATTGCTAGTAATCTGTCATTCTGCACTAATTCCTGGCCATTGGCAATCTCTGATTTTCAGCTCATAGAATTCTATGTGACGTGTCTCTTCAGAATGGGAAAGATCGTGACTTTCCACAACCTCCTATCATTTGTAGCTCTTGGAAATGTATATTATTATTATTATTTTTATTTTCTTTGATTTCTGGCATTTACACATTTCTTTCCGGGTCCCGCCCAGGGACCTAAGGTTAGAAATGGCATCATGACACTTTCCACTGACAAAAAAAAAAAAAAAAAATTACACAGATAAAGCCCTTCGTAAAGTGTGGGCTGTACTTGTCAGAACAATTTTTTGTATCTCCTTGAGGCATGGACTTCCAGGAATCCCTTCAATTAGTCTACTGCAATCTTTTCCAACCAGTCCTAGGGCACCAACTACAACAGGGATTGTTGATGTTCCCATATGCCACATATTATTATTATTATTATTATTATTATTATTATTATTATTATTATTCCTTTGATTTCTGGTGTATATTCACTTCTTTTCCGGCTCCCAAACAGAGACCTAAGGTCAGAAATAACATTATGACATTTTTTACTGAGTATTTTTTAGACCCCCCCCAAACCTAAGATCACACATATTTTACATATATAAAGCCCTTCTTATTTGTATCTCTTTAAGGAATGGGCTTTCAGAAATCCCTTCAATGAGTCTATTGGAATCTTTTGCAATCAATACGAGTGCTCGAACTACAGCTAGAATTTTTGATGCTCTCATGTGTCTCATTTTTGAGATTTCGATTTGAAGGGCCTTGTATTTTGATATTTTTGAAAACCTCCAAAGATACATTACAGTCAGCAGTGACTGCCATGTCAAGTAGAAGGCATATTCTCTTTTTGTAATCTCTGATCCCGATGTCTGGGCGATTAGCTTTGATTGTTTTGTCAGTGTGTATTATAAAGTCCCATTTAAATTGTTACAGGTCCTGTGTCTGTAACCAGTTTTCTTTCTGTAAAGGTTGCCGATTTTCCAGTGCAGATATTGTCCCACTCTGTCATGTTGGGTTTTATATTCCGTGGGTGCCAATACCGTACAACCTGAGGCGATGGTCAATTATTATTATTATTATTATTATTGTTATTATTATTATTATTATTCATACTCCCTGTTCTGCTATCCATTTTTACAAGCTTGTTAAGTAGATTACTCGATATTTTTTAAAGCTCATCAGTGGATATTGGAATCCTTAGGAATTTACGTCACACACAAGTAAATTCACATTCCACGGAACATTACTACATGTGCCAAGAGAGTGTATTTACAACATACAACCTCATCACCACAGGAAAAAAAACAACCTTACTGACTTTAAATTAATATATAATTCAGATACGTACCTTCTGGCAACTGAATATACACTGAAAGGTTGGCGCTTTCATCCTCCAACTTAAAGCTCCAGAAAAATCCTATTTAACCTTTTGTATTACTGAAACATTTTCCACATTCTCAGTTCATTTAAAACTCTTTGTCTTTGTAGATACATTTTTTCATATATACAAACCTTTTGTTTGTTTTCGAAAATGACTTGTTATTTTCTTTTCAACTATCGGCTTTTTCTCTTTTAAACGTTTAAGCAGAACTACAGCGAAGAATGAGAATGCTATAGACCATCCTAGACCGTCTTACGAATGACGCAATTGCGAGACACCATCGGACAAGAAAAAGGCCGTCCTGGGTATGAGGATCGTGGCTAAGACGATAAATTACGTCTAACAGCAAGGCCTCTGTTCAGGAGGTTTTGAGGAGCGTGGAACCAGCTCTTAATTGCTGGTGTTTCCAGGTCCACCCTGACCCGGGGTGGTAGCACCTGTTAGGGTCCCAGATATGGGCAAATAGTTAATCCTCCAAATTGGTGTCAAAACAAAAGTGTAAAAATAGGTTTTAATACCAGAAATACTTTTGAAAAAAAAATATTACCAGCAATTTTGTTATCTATCTTAAACCTTGCTTTAAAATCCGTTTAGACAAGCTTGCTAGGTAGGTTATGTATTGTTTTCCTCTGTCCTTCTTGCCTTTAATCTGTCCTGTGAGTATCAAATTTTCCAATTCTTCTTTCCTCATTGTAAGCCCCGTCTTTCTGATGTTAAGTATAACTGTCCTTTTTTTTCTATTTTCTCTTAAACTTTGCCGTTTCTCACATGTTCACTACCATATAGGAGGACTGATATTACTTAACAATTCATTACTGTTTTCTTAGTTTCTAACAAAACTTTCCATGACATTCTCAGCATCCTTCTGTAGGACCACATTTCTGTTTCTTGAAGTATCTTCTTCACCTGTGAGAAGATTGTCCAGCATTCACTGCCATATAGGAGGACTGATATTACACAACAGTTTAGTACTCTTTTCTTTGTGTCTCACAAATTTTCCTATTTCTTAATACTTTACTTGCCTTGTGGAAGGAGTTTGAAAAAGAACCCCAAATACAATGACCCCTGACAACTTCATTCGGCTCAATGCCTGTTAGTGTCATCAACATTTTGGACAAGCATTCTCCAGTAGGATCATCCATTTAGTCGAAATCAATCGTGTTTTGTTTTGTTTTTTTACAAAGTATTTGCACTATCTCTGGATAGAGATAGTATCTTTGATGTCTGGCACGCTCCGCCTCGGTGTGGACGGATATCACAGGTCCTCAACCATCTCGCACAATATTCAATGCACGTACGGATGGTAGAGTTATAAATGTGTAAAATGGATTCTGGCGATAAAAATGATCCGTCATGACACAATGACCCAACTTTACTTGCAGTAGACATAGCAAATGATTAAATATAATCGCTCCATTTCATGTCAGTGGAAAATGTGAGCCCAAGAAGGCGAAACAGTTGCTCTCCTGGGGGTTAGCATCAGCCATGCTGATAGCAGGCAGAAAAAGTTCTATAACTTTTTTGTTTTAATCAGTGTTATTGTTTCCGAATAAATGATTAAGAATAAAATAAAAAAACATTTGAAACTTAACATCCAACCTCGTGTCAAGCAGTCTCATACTCTACAATCGGTGGATGTGCTATGATAAAAGTTTTCAACCAAATATATCTGTTTTTTTTTTCTTTTATCTTTATTTATTTCGCCTGACAGGAGGTGAAAATAACGGATTCTGTACGAGTTTTGATAGAAATAGAATTGTTACTATTTGGAGATTTTCGTTACCGACCTCAGGTGAAACATTGTGTAATATTGGCTTTTTCTTTATTATTGCAAGTTCGAAAGTCTAATCTCTGGTGTAAGTCTCGCGGAAGTCTCGCGGAAATCGTGCAGTGTGTTGAAGTGCGCGAGAGTGGATAAAAGACGATCTGAAAAGCTTTTCCTTGAATTAAGGTTTAAAAACATTCAACGTGAAAGTTTGGAAGCGATTGGTTACAGAGGATAAAGGAAGTACCAAGAAAACGCCACATAGATATAAGAGAGAGAGAGAGAGGGGGGGAGAAAGAGAGAGAGAGAGAGGGAGAAAGAGAGAGAGAGAGGTAGGAAAGAGAAAAAATAAAGTTAAATTAGGGAGAAAAGATTGGGAATAAAAGAAAAGACATAAAAATGAGAAAGGGGGAGAAAGAGAGATGAGAGAGAGAGGTAGGAAAGAGAAGAAATAAAGTTAAATTAGGGAGAAAAGAAAAAAGACATAAAAATGAGAAAAGGGGGGGAGAGAGAGAGAGAGAGAGAGAAAGAAAGAGAGAGAGAGAGAGAGAGATTTATACCGGAGAGAGAAGGGTGGGGGAGAGTGATGTAAACGAAGAAATTTTAAATTAAATAGAAAAGAGCAAGAATAAAAGAAAAATATATAAAAATGAGAGAGATAGATAGATAGATAGATAGATAGAGAGAGAGAGAGAGAGAGAGAGAGGAAGAGAGGGTACAGGAGAGGGAGGGATACCGTTGAGAGAAGGGGTGGGCGAATAAAAGAAAAAAGATAAATGAGAAAGGAGAGAGGGAGAGGGAGAGGGAATGAGAGACGTGTGAAAGGAAAGAGAGGGGGATACTGGAGAGAGTAGTAGTAGGGGAGAGTGATGCAAGAGAAGAAAGAAAGTTAAATGACAAAGAGTGGGTATAAAAGAAAAAAGATATAAAAATGAGAAAGGGGAGTGATAGAGACATAGAAAGAGAGAAGGGTGAGGGGAAAGAGAAAGATACCGGTAAGTGAAGGGGTGGGGGAATAAAAGAAAAAAGATATAACAATGAGATAAGAGAAGAGAGAGAGAGAGAGAGAGAGAGAGAGAGAGAGAGAAAGAGAGTGGGATGACAGGAGAGAGAGAGATGCAGGAGAAAGTAGGATGGGGTGAGAGTGATGTAAAAGAAGGAATTAGAGAGAAAAGAGCGGGAATAAAAGAAAAAAGATATAAAAATGAGAAAGGAGGGAGAGAGAGAGAGATAGGGGGGAGAAAGAGAGAGAAAGTATGGAAGGAAGATGTTTGTAGAAGTGGAAGAAGAAAGAAGGGGTGAATAAAAAAGAGAAAATGAAGATTAATATATCCTGATAAAGAAGAAGAGAAAGAATAAAAGCAGAGATTTGAGAATTAAGTCGGATCAAATTATAAGGCAGAAAAGAAATGAGGAAGGGAAATGTCAGACAGGAATAATAAATGGATGAAGGAAAAAATCGAGAACCATGCATCAAGGAGAGTCAGATAGAGAGTGAGTGTGTGAGAGAGAGAGAAAGGAAGAGAGAGAGAGAGAGAGAGAGAGAGAGGGAAAGAGAGAGAGAGGAAGAGAGAGAGGAAGAGAGAGAGAGAGAGAGAGAGAGGAAGAGAGAGAGAGAGAGAGAGAAAGAAAATGTAGAAAAATGGCAGGAAAAAGTAGACCCGGAAATAGAAAATAGAGAGGGTAGCAATAGGAAGACAAAAAGAAGAGTGGAATGAACAGAAAGAAATCGTGAGAAATGAATAAAAAAGGACGGAGAGTGACTGAAGAAGAGAAACAGAGAAAGAGAAGAAAGAGAAAGAGCGAGAGAGTGGGGGATAAAAGAAAGAAAGAAAGAAGGAAAGAAAGAAAGAAAGAAAGAAAGAAAGAAAGAAGCAGTTGAGCAAGAGAAATAAGGATGCATGAAATATAGCACACAAGAAAGAAAGTAAAAAAGATAAGGTGAATGATTGTTTAAATGCGACTATATGAAATAGAATAAATGAAATAGAAAGAAGGAAAGCAAGCAAGCAAGAAAGAAAGAAATCAAAAAAGAAATAAAGAAAAAGGGAAGGAAGGGAGGCTTGGACAATCAATCGATGCGAAAAAATAAAATGGAAGCTAAAAGATGGCTATCAGGACCGAGAAATTCTTTAAACATTTATAAAGGAAATGAAGATGTAAAAAAAAAGCATCAATAAAGAAACAAAAAAAGAAAAACTCAGTAAAATAAAAGGAAAAAATGTCTAGAAGGAGAGAATGGAGAATACAGGCAAGATACAACATCCGAACGCAAATCGCGTGGGATTGTAAAGTTAATAGTTTCTCCAAACATGCTAAAAAACGAAGGTGAATCTTACTGTCAAACCAATTGTTCGAAAAAAAGAAAAAAAAAGTTATCTCTATTTCCAAGTGATGAGTGGGTGATAAAGTGTTTCCCGCGGGTAAGTCTTTCATTGAGTCGTGTCGATTAAAATTGGAAAATCGTGATTTCGAATTGAAAGATAAATTCGAAGTCATTTACACAGTTGAGGAGATAAGGCTCCTACTTTGGCTCGATGGTTAGCAAACTCATTTCGCACACCGATTTATTAAGTTAGCGGGTTCGATACCGTCTGAGGTAATGGATAGCGGCTGAGAATGAAAAATCAAAAAGCCGAGTTCGAATTCCAGCCATGTTCGTTACATTCACTTGCATACAAATCCTCTTAGGAAAGGTACGAATCCATCTCCTCTTCTCGGCTGAGGGTTAACTAGTAAGATAAATGGAAATAAATCTCTCTTCCCCACCTTCTCAGCTTTCGGTTAACTCTGGGTAACGGGAAAAAATCATTGTTGTTCTAAAAAAAAATGTTTATATTCACCCACAAAACAAATAAAAAAATATTCTTACAACGCCCAGAAGCCGTTTCAGCTTTAAATAACACACAAATGGTCGATAAACCGTAAAAAACTCCCCCAAAAAACAAAAAAAAAAAAACAAGTCAATGAATTAAGTGATTCGCATTGGGTGCCCAATTACTGTGACTTTGTATCAAACGATTAAGTTCAGCAAATAATGTCAGGTCTTATAGGATATCAGGACTCCCTAACTATGAGATATATCGAATATATAAGCATAGCATTGTTAGAAAACGTTTTTTAAGGATTAATCTATTTTTGTATACCATCTCTGTGGTTTATTTACGTTTTGGCGGAAACTTTAAAAAAAACATCCTTCTTAATGTTTTCTTTACATAAAGTCGGGTCTTATGGGATACTAGAACTCCCTAATTATGGAATATATAGAATAATTAACCGCAGCAATATTAGAAAATGTTTTTTAGAGGTTTGGTTCGGTTTACTATGTATTTCTGTTGCAAACAGAGTGGACCCATAATCTCGTGAAGTACTCGAAAGAAATAGATGACTTTATTACCGGTCACCATAAATATTTTTTCCTGTGATTTTTCCTAGCCAAAATTGTAATATTTTTTCTGTGACTTTTTTCCGGTGTCTTTATTATAGACCACGCCCCAAAATTCAACTGTCTCTTTCTGATTGTAAGTATAGGGGTCCTTTTAGCTATTCTCTTTCTATGTACCATTCTCGTTAGGGCGTTAGCAATCATGGCTCTCAAAGATTTCTTAGCAAGTTTTGTCTTTCTGCTCTCACTCTATAACCCTGTTCTGTTATCCATTTACAAACTCTCGTTATGAACTGTTTTCCTATGTTCTTCTTGCCTTCGATATGATCTGTGAGTGTCAGATTTTCTAAGCCTTCTTTCCTCATTATGTGCCCTAGAAATTTCAGCTGTAGCTTTCTAACATTAAATATAACTATCCTTTTTATTGCCATTTTCTCTAAATCTTCGTTGCTGCTCACGTGTTCAGTCCATTGTCTTATCAGCATCCTCCTCTAGATTCCCATTGTTTTCATCATCTGTGATGAAATGGTCCAGCATCCAATGCCATATAGGAGGACAGATATTACATAACGGTTAAGAAGCTTTTTTTTTGTTTCTAACGAAATTTTCTCGTTTCCTAATACTTAGCATAACTTTTAGAAGGCATCTTTCGCTAACCCCATTTCGCCTTCGGATTTTGCTGTTGCATTTTCCGTCGTCTGGTAAAGCCTTCCGATTATTTAAATGGTTGTACTTGCTTGATTTTGGTTTTACCAATTTGTAATTTGCCTACTGGGCTCTTCCTTTTGCTAATAACCATACATTCTGTTTTCTTACAATTGATATTTTAATCCTTCCTCCTTGAAATTGATGTTTAGTTCTTTATTCTAGATTTCATTCACTATCCACTTTAGGAGTTCTTGTATTTTCCTTTTTGTGTTTGCGATCAACACTGAATCATCTGGATATCCTATGTTGTTAATCGAGTGTCCATCAATTATGAATTGGCCCGACGATTGCATATAGCATGAAACAGACTGTCGCCTCTAAGTGTTGACTTCTATGTTCACTTTTATATATATTATTAACACCATTGAAAGGCGATTTTTTATTTATTTTAAGCGATTGCGTTTAGCATGAAATAAACTGTTCCCTCTGGGTTTCAATCTTGATTTCAATGTCCAGTTAGTTATTTGTATATATATATATATATATATATATATATATATATATATATATATATATATATATAAATATAGATAAAATTTATTTAGATATGCTATATTTATGGGCTAAAAGTATTCACTATCCGTGATAGAGCGTGTGTAAATATAAAAGTGAACACTGAGGCCCTTATCAAGTATAGAAATGATTGAGAGCCAGAAAAGGTAACAAACAACCCTATAGAATAGCTATATAACAACCGATTGCACACGAATTGCATGAATACAGAAACGCGAACACATTCTACGCATTTTCGTGCCAGATAACGAAAGCGGAAGTGGATACAGATACTATACTTTGATCCGCTATTTACTCACCTCCCCACGGTTTTAAATTCAGACATGCCTTTCTCCCTGACTGGCTGCCAGCTATTTATTATTAATCTATATTTAATTTATAATTGCCCGGGAAAAGGGATTGATTTATGCCTTTCTTAAGGACATCACTTGAAGTTAGGACAACAACCTCGCTCGCAATTTGAAAACTGGTCGCCAATTTCATTGTCTATGTCAATAACTGCTTCGCGACACGGGCACCAACATTAGAAGATTTATACCAAAAAAGTTGCTCAACTTAATTACATGCGTAGATGGGAATGCCAGATTTAAAAAAAACACACATACGCACACACGTTTGCGTGTGCATGTGTGTGTACGTGTGCACATGTCCACATTTGTAAAACTCTTTCTATACTTCCTCCTCCCTATGCTGAGCAACATCCCCTCCCCATCCTGAGCAGTACCACCCTCCCTATCCTGAGCAACACACCCTCTCTATCCTGAACAACATCCTGAGCAACACTACTCCGCCACAATTTTCACACAGTATCTATATGATACTGCGTGCGTCACGTCAGGTGTAACTAAACGATCGATCCTCTTCTCGCAGACGTGAATAATCGAGGAGAAAATGACGAGTCTACAAAAGCTGGTAATCAATTCTCTTTGATTACGGGTGAGAGTCATGTTTGTTCGTTTTATTTGCTTGTGCTTCTTTAATTTCCTCCTCCGGTACACGTCGACTATTTGCAGACATAGCCCAGTAGTAGTGAAGTGGAATAAGGTCACGCAAAGTAAGGTAGCAAGAAAACGACTGTTACATAGAGTTATGTTACGCCTGAAAAATACTCTTCAGCTATGCTGTGTGTCTTTATTCAAACCGATACTTCGAAAAAGGGAGAAAAGGAAATTAAATTTGTTGGCGAGTAAATTCCGGTAAGTATTATTTTTTTTCCATCAGAATCAGAGTCTCTAGTGAGGTAATTATTGTTTTGCTGGAGTGTAGTGAGGTTTGTATACTTTTAAATTTTATACAAGGAAAATCTACCATAATATTACGTATACCTAAGTAATTTTAGAGATTCTTGATAAAATGTTATTGGTCCTGACCTGGTATCCCGGCTCCAGTTCCTTTCCCACCGCCGTAATGTAGCTTCCCTGTGCCTTTTCTATAAATACTTTCATAGTAATTGTTCGGATGAACTTTTCTCAATTCATTGTAAATATACAGACAAATTAAACATATGGCAACTAGTTAGGACTACATAGAGATCTTGAGGTATTATGGTGGCTGTATTAAGAATAGTATGTGTTGTTTTGGTGTAAGGGATACTGTGGTATGTTTGGGTCAGTAATTGTGGATAGCAAAGATAAGACAGATTGAAGACTAGGCTTCTCCTATCCCCCGCTTTTGGTTTTGTGACACGTTTTTGTAGTTTTCAAAATAAATATTACCTTCTTTTATGGCCAATGGACTAGATTGGAGGCAAGGTCTCGTCATTTTACAGTTAAAATGGCTATATTCAACCGTAAGTTCTATGCTAAGTTTTCTTCTCTTGCACTTCTCGTTTCTGGAACTCTCTTCTGGCTTCTTCTTCCCAGCCACATTTGATCTTAAAAAATTAAATGCAATATCAATCATTAACTTCTGTCTTCTTAAGACTTGTCCTTTCATTGTCCTCTCTCCTTAATTGTATATTTTTTTATACTATCTAAAACTCAGTAACCAGTTGCGTCTTAGTAGCTTTATGACACGGAAAATTTATCTATTGGAATGGATCAAAGTTTCTTGTGAGCATAGAGTCATTGTATGTTAGCAAATAGTAGAGACATTTAATATATAAGCCGTGTAAGTGCCGCATATCACGTTGAAACATTGGTTCTCGTTTGATCACTGAAGTTAGGCAACGTTGAGTCTGCTTAGTACTCAGATGGGTGACCGCTGAGCTACGCGACAGACCTAAAAAGCCGGCGATAGACACCATCTCGCTACTTATACTCATAGAAGACATAGATATGTGCAGTTATTTCTGGGTTCATAAGTCGTAAGACATACGTGGAGTTTGGTTCAGTGAGAAGTGAGTAAGTAGCCGAGTGGTTAGAATGTTAGCATTCAGGCCATGAGACTCGAGTTCGAATCTCACCATGATCAATTTGTCAGGGCGGTGACTTCTTGATAATATCGGCCTGTGGGAG